CTTGTAAGGTTTTTCTCCAGTGTGGATCCTCTCATGTGTTTTCAGATTTGATGAATCACTGAATCTCTTGTCACAGTGTGAACACTTATAAGGTTTCTCTCCAGTGTGGATCCTCTCATGAGTTTTCACATCTCCTGACTTATTGAATCTCTTGTCACAGTGTGAACACTTATAAGGTTTCTCTCCAGTGTGGATCCTCTCATGTGTTTTCAGATTTGATGAATCACTGAATCTCTTGTCACAGTGTAAACACTTAAAAGGTTTCTCTCCAGTGTGGATCCTCTCATGAGTTTTCACATCTCCTGACTTATTGAATCTCTTGTTGCAGTGTGAACACTTGTGAGGTTTTGTGTAGATGCTTTCATGCCGTTTTAAACAGGTCGCTGCACTCCAGTGTGGATCCTCTCATGTGTCTTCAGAGTTGTAGACTGACTGAATCTCTTGTCACAGTGTGAACACTTGTGAGGTTTTGTGTGGATGCTTTCATGCTGTTTTAAACAGGTCGCTGAAGTAAAAGTCTTTTCACCATCAAAGCACATGTACTCTCGCACAGCAGTATGTATTTTCTGATGTTCGTTCAAGCTTTGTAAATGCAAAAAACTATTACCACACAAATTAGATGAATGTGGCTTCTCATTTGAATGAACCTTTAAGTGTTTCTTCAGAACTGAAGCCCATAAAAACATTTTACCACACTGATCACATGCAGCTTTTCTTTCTCCAGTGTGGATGTTCATGTGATTATAAAGGTGTGCTGATTGTGTGAAACTCTTCCCACATTGATCCTCATGGCCCGATTCTTTTGGCCGGGCATTCACGAGAACATCCGCCAGTGGTGTGCGGGGTGTCGTGAATGTCAGCTGGTAAATCCTCCGGCCAGTTCTAAAGCGCCATTGCGTCCATTACCACTGATAGAGGTCCCCTTCGAGAGAATTGGTATGGACCTCATCGGGCCATTAGAACGTTCAGCACGTGGGCATCGTTTTGCATTAGTTCTGGGAACCAGGTGTTAGATCTGGGCCAGAATTAAAATAAATGTGGCCCAGATTTGGGCCAGTTCTGGTTTATTTTATTTATTTTCATGGCTGACATTGGGCCTTCTTTTGGCTTGTGCTGTTGTTGGCTGCCACAGTAACAGCAATAAGCTAAAGGAATTCCTTTAAAGTACTTGTTTTGCGTACCAGAAAATTTGTCCATGTCCGGTGCTATATGCATGGCTTGCAGCACTTACGTTAAAAATAATAGTGTGAAATAATATGTTAAAATAATGTGTGCTCTTATCACTCTGTGGACAAAATCCAGTGAACTTCGCCCTGATTGTGAACTGAACTGAGGCGCTACAGTGATCTGTCACGACTCATTAAAGAGCCACAAAACGGTATTGTTTGAATTTTTAAAAAAATGCCAAAATCTGAAAGGTGAGAGTCCTGAGACCTTGTTTCATACCAGAAGTAACCTGCTCTGTCTTGTCTGTTGGCAGGTTGTCAGTTTCCTCTTTGCTCTGCGATATATTTTTCACTGCGTGAGAATATGATATTTAGTGTTAGAGCAGCATTGTTTGTCGGAGATAACAACAGTAACTAAGGAGGGCGGGTCTTTGCGAACATTCACTTACTCAAAGCATCGTCCTATCAGACATTTCTCCTTACTCTGTGTATGTGGTAAGTGAACTTTCATGTACTGTAATGCAACAGGCTACTGCTAGCAAGCGGCTAACCTGATAGTGGCTCCGTAGAACGCGTTATTTGTTTCACACTTCGGGCACACCCCTATTCCCTAAGAATAATACAATTAACACAACAAGGGAAACGGTGCAAAAGGAAAACAAAGTCCAAATGAACAGAAACAGTGACAGTAAGAGTACAATCATTATAGTGCACTTCTGTTTTTATGCTGCACAGTACACATATTAAAAAAACTGCCATTAAAAGCATGTTTCAAAAAATAAATAGCTGCATATGTAGCCTTCTTAAGACTCACATCCAAATCACCCTGCATCAGTTAACTGTGTTGCATCCTACTAAAAGTAGCCAAATTCTATTAGGCCATATTTACAATTTCAAGCTTCCATTTCAATTAGCCAGTGTCAAGTGTTACATCCAAGAACTGGCCTCACTTGTGAAGTGTTACAACCAGAAGTGGTCCTCATCTGTTTTATAATATATGGGGCATAATTGCAATGTCAAATGTGGGACAAGTTGGCTTACACACTGATTAGCCAGTGCTGACTGTGCCATATATTTGCCAAAAGTGGCCCAAATTGTTATTAATTATTTGGGCAATTTTTGTCATTTTATATGCGGGCCACATTAACGGCATCATATAAGGGCCACTTTAGGCTCACAGCCACATTAGCCAGTGCTTACTGTGCCATATCTTTGCCAAAACTGTCCCAGATATGTTCTAGGATAACTGGGCCACATTGGCATCATTATATGCGGGCCACCTTAGGCTCACAGCCACATTAGCCAGTGCTTACTGTGCCATATCTTTGCCAAAACTGGCCCAGATACGCTTTAGGATAGCTGCGCCATCTTAGGTTCACAGCCACATTAGCCAGTGCTTACTGTGCCATATCTTAGCCAAAACTTGCCCTGATACGTTTGAGGATAACTGGGCCACATTTGTGGCATCATATGTGGGCCACTTTAGGCTCACAGCTACATTAACCAAAGCTCACTGTGGTATATCTTTGCTAAAACTGGCCCAGATACGTTTTAATGTACCTAGGCCACATTTGCTGAAACATATGTGGACCACATTTGGTTAACACCCTGATTAGTCTTTGTCGATAATGCCATATTTTTGCCAAAGGTGGCCCACATTTGATTGGCACTATTTGGGCCATAATAACTGTTTACCACATGGGCCACTTTAGGGTCACATTCAGATTACACATTGCCGTCAACACCGCATCTTCACCTACAGAGGCCCACATGTGATTTGATACATTTGGGCCATTTTTTGCTGTTTTACATATTGGTCACTTCAGGCTTACATCCATTTCGTCCGGGCCATAAGAAGGCCAGCAGTGCCATATCATTGCCTTAAGTGGCCCACATCCGCATTTTTTCTGGGTTACAAGTAGGGATGGGTATCGTAAGATTTTAACCGTATTACTATTCTTACGATACTGCACATCAGTCCGGTTCTTTAATGGTATTCTTTTTTTTTTTCATGAAAAAAGGGCCCATTAAATATCGTGTTCTGGTACCCATCCCTTCTTACAAGAGAAGCCAATAAGGATCAGTGGCAAAGCTACATGACAGTATATCTTGCATCTGCATTTTCTAAATACATCTTAAGTGGGAGAATAATAAGTAATTTTAAAAACAACAGTAAAGAAAAATAAGAAAGCACAATAATAAAACGTTTTGACAGTTATTTGAAGAGGAACTCCATCTTTGATTTGATCAGAATCTCAGCTGAATCTTGAATACTTACTGTGATTGTTTTTTGTATGTCTGTGTAGAGCAAATGAACGATTGAAACACTTCCCACATGCAGTGCAGTGATACGGTTTCTCTCCAGTGTGAATCCTCTCATGTGTTTTCAGATGTCCTGAACGACTGAATCTCTTGTCACAGTGTGAACACTTGTAAGGTTTTTCTCCAGTGTGAATGTTCATGTGTACCTTAAGGTTTGCTAAGTATGCAAAACTCTTTCCACATTGATTACATGTGAATGGTTTCTCTCCTGTATGAATTATCATATGTGTAATAAGGCTTTCTTTTCGTGTGAAACTCTTCCCGCACTGATCACACGTGTGCGGTTTCTCTCCAGTGTGGATGTTCATGTGTTTCTTAAGGCTTAACGATTGTGTGAAGCTCTTCCCACATTTATCACAAGTGAATGGTTTCTCTCCAGTATGAATTCTCATGTGAACATCAAGACTATATTTACTTGTCAAACTCTTTCCACACTGAGTGCAGGTGAAACATTTCTTGGCTCCTCTTTTCTTTAAATCTTTCTGTTTGGTTTGAGAGCAACTCAAAGATTTTTCTCCAGTTTTGACATGATGTTTCTCCTCATCTTGACTAAATTCTTCATTCTCCTCACTTTCTTCAATAAAATCTAAAATAAAAGCAAAAACAGTTTATTTGTCAGTAACAGTAAAAAAAAAAGAAATGTGAAAGTACCGTATTGACCCGAATATAAGATGATGTTTTTTTCTTGCAAGTTTTGAGGGAGCGTGCAATTGGCATGCTGACTGCAGGAATGTCCACCAGACAGAGAAATAGGCCTTTTGTGTACATAGAAAAAGTCTTAGATCTTTGAGTTCAGCTCATGAAAAATGGGGGCAAAAACAAAAGTGTTGCGTTTATAATTTTGGTCAGTGTATAAAGATAGGGCCTTTTTGAAAATGTGCTTAGCTGATTTCAGAGATGTGAGCTCCAGAAGATCAGCGGGCACTCAGTGCTCATGTATCCCGCCGAGAGCAGTCTCACCTCGGCTAGTCCTTCTGACATTTGCTGCTGGCTCTGATGTCTCTGTAGTGGTTAAACATGAAATGAAATTTGTTTTGGGTAAATCTAACAGGTAATCTTTTGGTCTCATGAATCTATTATTTGTCCCAGGTCATATAGTTTTGGCTGATCACAAAGTTGTTTCATATTTATATATTTATTTTATTTAATCGTAGTACAGCGCTGACTTTGTAGCATACGTTTGACTGAATTGTTAGCTTTTGTCTTTATCTTCTATTAGATAAGTCTCTTATACTTTATACTTATACTTTTATAATGGCTATTATTGTTCATTAAAACTGATAGGAGTTGTGCTTTATGTAATAGTTCATTTTATTATGCATACAGTGAAGATAATCAGAGTATATGTGGACATATAAACCAAATGTTAATAAGTTTTATATTTTTAAAATGAAAAGAGGGTTGTGTTTTATCATTTGTTTTAAGTATACATACAGTGAAGACAACGAAAAGAGGCAATGATGTTTGATATCATATTTAGTTTCATTGTAAAGTATATACGTTCCCTGAACTACATTTTTTGTGGCTATTAATATATTTAAATGAAAACGAAAAGAGGCAGTGGTGTTTAATATCATATTTCTTCTTATTGTAAATATACATATAGTGAGGATTATCGGAGAAGCCAAGGCGAGCTGACTGACGTTATCAAGTACACTGCTGATCCATTTGCAGAATTACCGGACTTTCCTCCTTCCGTCCCCAAGAGTTCACACTCCCGAGTCGAACTTGCGAAGTCCGAACTACCAAGGTTATTTTTGTAAACGAAAACTGAAACTAAGACTAAAACTATTGGTCAAAAAACATTTTCGTAAACTGAAATAAAATTACAATTAAAAATAAATAAAAAACTAAAACGAAACGAAACTAACAACAGTAACTGAAAAACTAACTAAAATAAAATAATAATTAGCAAAAATAAATTATCGTGTTCGGGATTTAATAAGCTCTCATTCTGTGCCAGAAAATCTGACCTGTGGTTGTTTAGGGAAATACCTGTAGATGGCGCTTCATGACCGTGAGCTGAGTCCTAAGCGGCTATTCACAGAGAAGGCGTTTTTGCCATAGACTGTATGGTTTTTGCATTTACAAAA